AAGCAACTGCATTACAAGTCAGTGAAAACTCCATTTATAGGCAATGGAAAGAAACCATCCCTTCCAGAGCACCCAACGTGTCTGTTTAAGACAAGTGAGATCACTTTCTCTCTCTGGGTACCTGGAAAGTCGCTGTAAAGAGAGACTAGGCTGCATGCTCAGGTCGGACCCACACTGATCAAGAAGTATGATTTAATTAACTTAGCTATAGACTTTTAACCAACATGTGGCCCAATGTTTCTCAGTGAGATGATATTCCATATTTAGAGTTGAAAAATTAATAACTGGATAATCTCTTATTAAGCAAGAATGGTTCTTATAAGTCTGCAAGTTTATCATTCACATCACATCAGTAAAATATAACCTTAGTACCAACCTGATCTCTGGAAGCCAAAGTGGTCCTGGAATACAGAGAAACTTAGGACCCAAATCTGGAAACTGAAGTCACATTTGAGACCCTCCTTTGCATTAGCTAATTAAGCATGTCTCATAATCTCATGGTCATTACTTAAAAGAAGTATATGGATTATTTTGTCCCGTTAGAAAAGCTAGATCCCTATATACCCACACATCAGTCTTATTTTATATTTCAGGGTTCACTTCAGCACAGTCATTAGCTGTGGTTGTATGGTGTATATTACGTCTGTTCAAATACAAAGGCTATTTTTTGCATCTATAATTGAATTGATACAGAGCAGTTCTCAGGAGGAAGCTACTCTGTATGACATATACTTTGTATACTTGGGGAGACATTAGCTGTACAGCTGTCTTCAGAGCAGTATGTGCATTTACCTGAACTAATAAATTTATTTCCCTGAGAAAAGCAAAAATGGTAACTGACTGACTTACAATATATTTTTGAAAATATATAGGACTGTGTGCTAGATTTCTACTCTCCAGTAGACTATACAGAATATTACTTCTTTACAAAATTAGAGATATGCTTCTATAGATTTCAAAAGACAGTAAATGGATTTTCTATACCAGTGTAGAAAATCTCAATACCAAACCACTAGAAACCAATCATAAGTATATATTCTAAAGAAGAGAGGGAAGGATGCTTACAAGAACTGAGAAAGCAGGATAAAGTCTAAGAAGGCTTAGGCCTTATCCTATAAACCACTTATTTGTGTGCTTCATATATTACATTCATAGAAGATGGCCTGAACTGGGGGATATCTCCTCCTCATCAACATGTGAGAGACCATCCACAGAGCACTGAATTCTTCACATCCTCCCTCACGGGGAGAGATACTTCAGTGAACAGATCCCTGCCAAATCAACAGGCCAAGGCTGTGGATCATTTCCTAAATAGTCCAACCTTTCCAAATAAGGAACTGCTGAAGCATCCGTGGACACAGTGCAGTGTTGCTCTTGCCTGGTGCTGCTTATCCCTGCTGCTGGAGAAGGAGAGAGGCAGCACCCAGCTGGCAACCCAGGCACCAAAGAATACTCAGGAGGCAACTCCTGTGTTAGCCTGGTGCTTCTCCGGGGCAGATGAGTCCAGATGGGGATCTAACACGGAAGACTGAATCCGACAAGGAAACCTGGGCTTAGTAAGGCCTGCACCACTCCAGGAGCGCAGCCCCTCCACCATCGTGGGTTGACGCCTGCCTGCAAGAGGAGCCGCAGCTGTGACATCGCTCCTGCCCCCTCTCTGGCATCAGCTCCAAACAGTGGCTCAGGCAGGTGCAGGAGAAGGGCACCATATGCCAGAGGCGCGGTCTCCCACGCGCTCCTGCTCCAGAGTTCCGACAGCTCCCACCCACCCACGGCAGCTCCTCCGTGCCTTTCCCGTTCCCGTTCCCGTTCCCGTTCCCATTCCCGGCGGGAGCCGAGCGCTGCCCGGCCGCACCACAGGGTGTCACCCTCGGCCCGGGCCCGCAGCGAGCGCAGAGCGCGGCCCCGCTCTCTGCGGGCCTTGCGAGCACCCAGGGCTGCGAATGTGACTGCACACAGCTGCAGGTGAGCACACGGACACACCTGGGGACCACAGGCTGTCACTGCAGTGCCCCCGTACCTGTGCAGGAAAGCCAGGAGCTGCCACATTCCTGTCTCTCGAAGAAGAGACCTTCTTTTCAGAGCCTGACCTGGCTCTCAAGCAATCTGCTGGACAAATTGTGTCTGTACATATCTGTATTAAGAGTTTGAAGCTTTCTTTTTCAGATCATTACCCCCCCACCCCATTCTTGGAATGTTTTGGACGCATTTTTGCAGAAGTTTTCCATAATCAGGCCTACCCAGCATGGAAAATTTTATTCCTATCTTGAGATGTAAGCCTTCATAGTAGAAACTGCAACTGTGGGCAGCATCAGAAATCATCTTTACTGTAAGCTGTCATACCAGCCCTATTAGGGTAACTACAGCCACATGGTATCACATAAACATCTGTAGAGCTGGTGTTGCAGTTAAATAGGAGCATAATGTCATGCATTATTTCATTTCTCTTCTTAGAAGAGTCCAGATGGGCCCAGATTCATCTCAACCTGCCTTTAGGTACCCCAGGTAAGATGCTGAATTAGGGCCACTGGCCAAGGCTCTTTCTGAGCAGCATCCCTCATTTTTAGCATCTGTCTGTAGAAATGTTTCACTAGAGATGCAAGGCTGTACTAGAATCGTGTTTTTTTCCATTAATTTCTCCAGGCTCATTGTAAGTCTATAGAGGGTGGGCATAAACTACTTTTTAAGGGCATTTTTGAGGGGAGAGACAGGAACCTCCTGCTTAATTTGTTTATGATCCAGTCTGTCCTCCAGCCTGCTGAGTATAAGAAGCACAGGAAAAATAGTCACTAAGAAGTTTCTCTTATCTCTCTAAGGCTCATGAAACGGTGCATGGCTTTTGGTACATGGAGATAAGTAGCATACGCTACGTGAGACGTCTGCATTTACGTATTTAAATATTTTGCATGTATTATCAATGCACTCCACCCAAACAGCATATGAAAGCCCAACCATGCTTGTATGCAGAGTACAATATTATAAGTGTTTGAAGTTTAGTTGCATTGACCATTTTGCTAAATAAAGCTATCCAAGCTGGTGCTGGTTACAACACTGCCACCAGCAGAAAGTGTGGATGACTACATCCATTTTACAAATGAATGAAATTAAAATACAGATTCAGATCTTAGTCAAAATAGCTCATAACACCTGATTTCAGGAATCCTAGCCTATTGCTTCACAGTGCAGAGACTTTTCTCTAAAGGAAATACAGACCTTATAGACACAGAACTCCATAAAACAAACGAAACAACAAACCCAAAACCTAGCTGACTTCCACAGATTCTCCATACAGTCATGACTGTAATACATCAAAATCAGCAAGACTAAAATCATGGACAACTTTTTCCCCTTTTCTGCCCTAAACAATTGAGGCAGCATGTGTTGAATATTCATTGCTAGCAATTGCAGACTTTTGCAAAAAGCAGCAGCAGCATAATAAGCCTACGCATGGTAGAACAGTTAGAATTACAATCAGACATTGTTTTTTAAAAGGAACTCATTTAAATAATACCCTACATCTTGGCAGAGATGAAAAGCACATGATGTACACCTTTGAGTCGCTGAAGTTTTATACTTCTTCGTCATTAATTACTCCAGCAGGTTGTTTTCCTTGAAAACGATGGGTGGTATTTAATGTTCTGTTACCCTGGAGCTGCAGTTCTCTGCTCGTGTATCTGCACGCAACACCTTGCTCATGACTGGGAAATGTGAGGCAAAGATAATGTGAATGCACAACTTCGTTGCTTAGCAAGCACAGTTTCATTTTCTGTAGAGACAAATTAGCACTATATGTTTTAACATCTCTAGCCTACAAGTCATCAGCACAAAAGATGTTTCAGGGACATCATAGCAGTGGAAGACTTTGCAGAGCCTGTCAGTACACTATTCAAAGTGTTATTGAATGCATGAATTTCAGAGTTTGTTGGGAGTTTGAGGGGGAGGTGACTGCATCTCTTTCAGATAATAATGGAATCTGAAAGGTTTCTTGGCTGCTATAAATTAGCATTTTCAGCTCTGAGTGTAGTCTCCCAGAAACAGTTTATAGCTAAAGCCATACATTTTTCTGTTCCTACATCAAACAGATAATAAAAGCTAGAAAATTACTGCAGGCTTTTATCTCAGAAATGAAATGAACAGAAATACCACTCCTATTAGAGATTTGCTTACACTGCTGTTATTGCAGCAGCCTGAGCAACATTTGACTAACCAACTTTTCTCAGCAACTACTCATTAGGATTCTCAGAATTGCTAAGACCACTAACTGAAGTACCTAATTGATAATGGCAGCTATAAAGAAGGGGCAGATGCTCAGTTCCTCAGAATAAAAAGCCATACATCACCCCAGAAGAAGTGGTTATCTTACTTCTGGGCCAGAAGTCCCTCTTGCAGGCTATCTGGTAGCAGTACTCAGTAACAAAAAACTATTTAAGTTTAGTTAGTTTTACCCCAGCTGCAAGCATATGATCAGTGGGTAAAATCCAGCTCCTGAAAAGATTTTGAAATGCTGGTAAACTCTGAGTACAGTGCACTGCCCCACATCACAGCAGTGAGGTTAGATAGTCGAGGATGGATGCCCAATAGGAGCTGTTTCCATCCATCTCATCATAGCCTGTTTCTAGTGTATGTCCACAACACCATGCTAAAACATGTTACCTAAGGACATAATTCAAGTGTAGCTGTGCTTTATGTACACCAGAGACCAGTACCTTCACTTTGCTTGAGGCAGAGAAGCTAGTTTTGGGGAAATGGGAGCATTTGTACCACAAAAGAACACCCACACTGATACATAACCACTCTTTACACCCACAGGTGGAAGACCAGATTGTATCTATGTGCTTTGCCAAGTTGTATCCATGGTAAGACTTCTACGGGTGCAGTTTGATGGAATAACCATCACACACCTAAGCAAAATTACCTTAGCTGAGTGGCAGCTTTGATTTATTTTTAATTTTTGAAATCTTGCTAAAACCTTTGTTTTAAAATAAGACAGTTTATGGAAGTATTTTTCAGGATTTTACTGCAAACCTATGGGTCTGGTCACAAAAAATATGATACATATAACCATGTTAATTACATTACATTACAATGATGGTATACATTACAAGTAAGTCTGTAAGTTTAAATATACATCTAGAGTTACAACTGAATGTACAGATCTTTTTTACAATACATACAATCAGGAATGAAAATCCCTCAAACCCCAAGACCATAAATAATGCCCATTTTACAGATGATATCTTTTAAACTAAAGGAGAGAGAAAAAAAAAAAAAAAAAAGAAACCAACAGCTTTGACCGACTGCAGCTGGGGCATTTTGGTCCATAAAAACCCTTTCTAAAAATAGAAATCTTTTTTCATAGCAGCAATGCTTTCTTCAAGCATTTGGATACAAGTAATTGTGAGCCCATTTCACTAATTTTAGTTGACAGTATAGATTTACAAAAGAAATTTCAAAATTACACTTAATTTATCTTCCAAATATGGAAGAAACAAACAATGCCCCACATTGTGGTATCCTGCAAGTGTCACACTGATGCTTTAAACTAAGTCCATCTGTAGTACGCAGACCACACGCATACCATTTGTTCACATAGTAAACCCACATAAATGAACTGAGAAACACACTCTGCAACAGGGAAAGCTTTGGAGCTCACAAGATCTCATCAGAAAAAAGGCACATTTCATAAAATCCTTATCACGTTCAGATAGATCTTCAGGCAAGGCTTTTCGAGCACGATTACAAAACCGCTTGTTCTTACTCCTATTATCTGCCGTAGCAGTCAATGGCAGCAGTCACTCTTGTTTTTTCTTTCCCAAGAAGACAGCACCACTTTGGGGGAAGAACAAATGGAAATGAAAAGCCTGTAAAGCTCATTTAGAGAATGATGTGCTCTTCAAAAAAGCTTCCAGCAAACAGTGTAGTTGAAATTAAGGCTGCAAAGCTGCCATGGTGGAAATGTGCAAATTCTCTTTCAAGGTGACTGGTCAACTGGCAGTTCCACCAGAAGGCCAAACAAAAAATAAAAATAATAGTTGTTATTATTATTAAAAAAGAATAAAAGAAAAACGTTCACAAGAAAGAGTCCACGGGTGGGGCATACGAGAAGCCCAAAAAAGCCTCGGCGGCTTCTTTGACGCTGGCGGTGATGAGGATGCTGTCAGGGGACTGGCCAATGGAGTTAGGGACTGGCTCATCTGTAAACTCCGGATCAAAGTGTCGCAGGTCACTGGGGCCACTCTGTGGAAAGGGTGGAAAAGGAATTTAGACCCAAATATTTTGTGAGTGTGCAATTCAATAGAGACAAGCACCCTTGTACCGGAAACTCACAGTGTTATCGCCTCAGGCCCACTGTTTAACAGCCTTTGACAGTTTTAGTATCCTGTTGCACTTTATCTCACTAAAAACAAGATGATTTGATTTAGCATGGCTACACTCCCACTAAGCTGATGCAACAGAAGCTAAATGCAAATATGCCGCTCTGCCACACAGCAGTTTGCAGGGGAGGACTTTGATCTCCTAGTTGTTAAATGAAGTTTATAAAATGCTCAGGAAACAATGGAGAACAACCTCCACAACTCGATCCCTCACTTTACATGTTAGTATCTGACAAGCCAATTGTAAGTCTGCCCTAGGAAAGCTACTTGCTCTCTGTACCTTAACTTCCCCTTTGGTAAAATGGGGAGGCTGGGGATTATTATAAAATTGCCAAGCAAATGAAGCATGTGAGAGAACAAAAATACCAGCTAAATTTAGATGGATCGTCAGCAGAAAGTCAATTACCACCTATTATTAACTTTGTTTGGACAGACACAGGGGAAGGAAAGTTGCATTCCCCAAACACAGCCATCCGGCCACTTGCTCCTGGCTCCTGGGTACCTCACAAAGACAAGGGGTAAAAAGACACTCTCCATGCACTCTATAATTAGAAGTGATACGTACCACATTTGGGTTGAAAGGGGGTGTAATCTTCTTATTAATGAGATCATCCCAGTTAATTGGGGAGAAGAAGATGTGATTCTTAATCTCCATCTGTTAAGAGAGAAAAAAATAGATTAATTCAGACCCAAGCTAATGTAAACAGTATGGTATGGCCCAGTCTTCGTCCCACACTGCATGTGGGCACTGGCCAGTTTGCACTTACAAAGTCCTCCTTGGCACCGAGTCTCTTTGTCCTGTCCTTCTGCAAGAGGCCTTCCAGGAGATGTCTGGCTGAGTTGGTAATATTTGGCTTCAGCTGCAAGGGTTTGTTCAAGATATTGTCGTACATTTCTGCGGTGTTCCTGCTGTAGAAGGGTGGCTGTGGGATGCAGAAAAGGGGGAGTTAATGAGGCTGACAGCCAGGCATGGGGTTTCTTATGGGGAAAGGTCGAGTAAGCTAGTTTGATCTGTCATGAAAGATTTGTTGCTTACCAAGCCATAAAGCATCTCGTACAGGACTGCTCCAAGGCACCACCAGTCCACAGTCCGGTCATAGGGCTGCTTATGGAGAACTTCAGGAGCAAGATACTGTGTAAGAGAAGGGAAAGAACCATGTGAGCCACAGGGATCTTTACAATCAAGAAAGCCTGCCCATTCATGAATTAAAGCAGCTTATTGAATCCCAGCAATAGCTAAGCTGAAGGAAAGCTACAATATTTTTACAAACAGGCAGATGGCTTGAGAGCTGCTCTCTCCTGCTCAGCAAGCTCCACGTGTCCTACATGTCCTCACTGGCAGCCCTATATTAGAAGGCCCATAATGGCCCCTGCTCATGTAACCAGCCTTACATACACATGGGACAAGTCAGTTTTCACTGATGGCAACAGCTCTTGCTGTTGCTCTGACAGTGGAGGACTGGCTGTACATACCTCTGGTGTGCCGCAGAAGGTGGAGGTTGTGCCATTGTGCTCTATGTTTTCTTTGCAGAGTCCAAAGTCAGTCAAGACAATGTGCCCCTGTGAATCAAGCAGGATGTTCTCTGGCTTCAAATCTCTGTAGGAAGAGATGAAAGAAGATGTTTAGAGGAGCTGCAGTGAGACTATTTTAGGTGCAGCTTTTTACAGAAGTTCACTAAGCCACAACAAAATTAAAAGCAATTCCAAGCTCCTACTGAGCTGAACTTTTCAATGCTTATTAAATAAGCATGTCTTTTTCTGTACAACAAGCTGAAAAAGGCTGCTCACCGATAAACAATGTTCAGGGAGTGCAGATAGCCCAGTGCACTGGCAATTTCAGCAGCATAAAATCGGGCTCTCGGCTCCAGGAAGCAACGCTCCCTCTGGAGATGGTAGAACAACTACAGGAGACAGAGAGAACAAAGTTGTGTAAACGGCGCCAAAGCCTGTTAACAATGCACTTAATTAGACTCAACATATATAGCAAGGGAGAACAATAGCAGGAAATGGCCTAATGATCCTTTGGTAGTTCAAAACTTGGCAGGCAGAAATATTCAATCTAGTAACTTCTCCTGCATGACTTTTTTTGTATTTAAAAGGAAGGGTGAAAATGTCTATCCTACCACATGATAGGAAATACTATTTAATTTTCTTACTGCTTACCTCTCCACCATTGATGTAGTCCAGGACAAAATACAATTTGTCTGCAGTTTGGAAGGAAAAGTGAAGCCCGACCAGGAAGGGGTGTTTCACATTCTTCAGCAAGACATTGCGCTCTGACATAATGTGCTTCTCCTGAAAACATCAGAAATCATCAATATTTAGTACACTTGCTTAGTAGTAGCAAAAAAAAATGTTTTTGATGGACATTACAATGGCATTGTGAAGGGCAGCTTACCTCCTTCTTCTTCAGGATTGCTTTTTTCTGCAGGACTTTAACAGCATAGAACTGCTCTTCTGCCTTATGCCGTGCAAGGAGGACCTGAAAGTACATAAAATTCCAGAACAACTTGTAAACATGACCAGCAACAAGCCCTTACATTAGCTGCTGAGCACTGCCACATCCATCTAGATTCAATGTGCATTCCCTTTACTGGAAATGCCTGGCACTGTTACCATTCTGGCAGATTAATCTAGCCCAAAGATACTATGTCTAGTTTCTTTCTCTTCCAAAAGCAAAGTATTCTATTCTTCACAGCACTAGTGAACTGAATTCCCTGGCTCTTCTGTGACTCATTCAAATGAAGTGTCCCTGCTCCTTGTCCCTCTCCCCACGCTGGGCAGAAGGATGTGCTCATGTTTGGTTTAAGTGACCGACATTCACTAAAGGCAGTACAAACCCCACTCTCCGGTATTGCATAGAAGAGCTCAACAGTAAATAAATTTAAATGAAAAAAAAAGTTACGCTTACCTTCCCAAAGCTGCCTTTTCCGATCACTTTTAAGAAATGAAAGTCTGATGGTTTGGCATGTGGGTTGGATGATGGGCCGAGATTAATCTGCTGTGAAGGACTGGGCTAGAAAAATAAACAGATACCACATTCATTAAAGCAGTTCAGCAGTAAGTGTCCCAACAATTTCTCCTTTTTAAAAACATAAATGAAGTGACCTTGAAAATAAAGATTATCACACTTATTGCCACTAAAACTTTATCTCTAACAGATATCTTAAACTAATAGGTACTGCTTAAGAAGAGTCTAACAATCGTAGCTTACTTAGATGTGGTTGTTGAAGTCTTAGACACACTCTATAATGATGTAACAACTCGTAACACTTTTAAACATTTCTTGTTCATGTTTGAAATAGCAGAAGTTTCAGACTAACCCGATTACTCTTTCTTGTTTACATTAGTGTGCTATGAGATGCACTAATGCAATACTCATGATGCTAATTTCGCTACACTTCTATTAGTGGCTGAATTGATGTTCTAAAAACGTCACGCTGAGTAAAATCTACTTACCGGAGGAGAAGGATTAACATTCATAAGTTCAGGCTCTTGAGGCTGAGAGATTTTCAAGATAGACTGAACTTCAGGGCTGCAAGGAGATAAGAGAGCACATGATTAGGAGAGTTACCAGGAGCAGCAGGCAGATCTTTCCGCCAGAGGGCAAGCACGTATCGCTGAAGAGGAGTTCTGGTTTAGCCTACTACAGAAGGAAACCAAAACAAATCTATTCGATTTATGGAGTAAAATTTTTCTAGAGGCAGCTAGTTCCATCATACAAAAAAATTTATTTCTACTCTAAGTACAGTACATAATAGGGACTGGTCACTAGAGATCTTTGACTTATTTGTTCCAAACCAAACTCACGGAGATTGTTGCGAAGTGAGTAACACCTCAACAACACAAATAAACTCTTCCGTAAGAGTAATGCCAGAGGAATTACAGTAAACATTACTTTTAAACTAGATCTCGCAATATCTATTGATATTTGTGACCGAAATCCCCCCAAAATTCCTGACACTTACTGCTTGCATGCATAGGAGTTGGTGGCTATCTTCTGAATGAAGTCGTTTAGTCCCATTCTTCTCTGCTTCATGAAAGCTATAAGGTAAAAGGAAAGGAGAAAGAAAATCGTTAAGCACCCCTGACAGAAAAACCACAGCCCGTTGAGCATCTTCGAAGAAGCCCCTACGCCGCTCACCGATGAGGATGGCCACCATCCCCCTCATCTTCGAGTAAGTCAAGGTAGGACCAGACGCTTCAGCGGCTTTCACGGTCATTTTGAAGCGAGAGGAGACTAAACGGCAAGCGCACAGTACCACCAGCTCCCAGCACCGCACTGACTTGGAGGAGCACCCGGCGGCGTTTAAGTGGCGGCGGTGATGGGCGGGACTGGGGCGGGGCGGCGACAATCGCACCCCCCTCGATCTCCTTTGGGGGGCGGTCTGTGGCCGCCTCGGGGGACGTCGAGGCTGGGAGGGAAAGGCAATTGTCGCTGCCTTTACCACCGCCCTACCTTGAGCGCAACCCTCAGGGGAGCCCCCCCACAGCACCCCCGCAGCACCTTGCCTCAGGATGCCGAGCATCCACAAGCAAACTCATGTAATCCCTTTTTTTTTTTTCCCCCTTCACTGCAAACTCCGGTAACCCCGGCTCTCTCTCTCTCCCCCCACCCTCTTTTTTAATCGGCCCTACTTATTTTACGGTTATATAAAGTTGAAATCTGGCTCTGTCTTTAGGACGACCACTTATTCCGAAAGTGTGGGTGTCCCACCCACCACCCCGCAGCCTGCGTCCGCTGTCGGTCCCGCCGCACCGGGTAAGCGGCGATAAGGGACGCTGACGTTTCCCTGAAGGAGCCGTAGTGACTCAGAAGAACAAAATTTCCTGCCCGGTTTTCAATAAAACAAACAAATCTCCCTTCTGTGCACTGCCCTGATCCTGGCTGGGACGTAACAAAAAGGGGAAAAAAAAAAAGTATTTTTTTAATGCCAAAAAGGGAAACAACGGGGGAAAAAAATAATCCGTTCCCTGAACTTGGAGGAGAGAGCAGAAATCTTCTAGAAAAGGTGGGGAGATGACCGAGAGTGACAAGTGCAGTAAGGGAGGGGGGGCGGGGGGGAAAGGGAAGCAGCCCTGCTCTGCGGATTTTTACTGTACACGGTCATTTGGGAACACCGTGTACCCGGGATTTAATGGCTCAATCGCTTCCTTGCGGGCGCGCCGGGGGCACACCGGGAGCGCTGGTGCATGCACGAAGCCCAAGGTGAAAGGATGCAGCCAGGCCCTCCTGCCGGGAGGCGCAGGGTACCACGGCCTCCCGCCAGGCTCCCCCGCCGGGGCGCATCCCCGCTCGCAGCCGTGGCACAGGTTAGGGGGGTGCCGAGCTCCTGAGCCCTACAGGCGGCTGGAACTTTCCACCCGACGGGGTGTTGTTATTCATGCGCGTGTTTCGCCTCGCTGTCTGAACGAAGGGCGCTGGGTTGCGGCCAGCGGCTCCAGCTGCAACCTGCCCCCGTCCTCCCCCCGCCCGGAGACCGTCTTTTTACTCTTTGATTTTTTTTTGTCTGTACCCGGTGCTGCTGCCTCCCCCCATAACCACTGCCGGCCGCTGGGCGGCATCCCTTGGCAGATGCCTGTACCCTCCGCCTCGGGGGGGATGGCAAGCACGGCAGCAGTCAAAGGCAGCAGCTCACCTCCACCAGCAAGACGGATGACCCGGAGAGACCTCTGCGAGCTGGGCACAGGTCTTTAAAAAGCGCTACAAAGGCGTTATAGAGAGCAAAACAAGCAAAAAGGGAAGATTGCCAGCTCCGCTCCGAGCCTCCGGTGTCCTTCCCGGAGCAAGGGGCCCTTGCCCGGCCCCGTCGTCCCGGTGCGGAGAAGTGGAAGGGAGCCGGCGCCAGGGAAGGAAGCGGCGACGGGAGAAGCAAGGAAATGCGGACTGCAGCTGGCGGGACTCTAGGTTCTCCCACTTGTGGCTTTCCTCACTCTGTTGCACACAGAAATTGCCACCCTCATTAATGTAAGTGGAGAAAAAAAAAAAAACAAAAAAACCCAAAATCAAACAAACAAGAAAACAACCCCACAATAAAGTATGGGATTCAAAACTCTCCTCAAAAAACCCCGCTTGATTGAAAGAGACGCAGACAGTTTTCTCTGCCCCTTCGTACTGTTTTCAGAGTACTGGTGTTAAAAACTAGAGATCCACAATTTGGAGGGTCACCAGAGTCCCTGCCCGCTGCCCCCCTGGCATCTCCAGGCTCCACGACGATGCCCCCCGGCACGTTCCTGCCAGCTGTGCACTGAGGCAAGCGGCTCCCAGCCCGCGGGCAGTCTCCGGCACAATCCACCCTCAGTTCTGCACAGCTTGCCAGAGGCTGACACCCACTGCCGTCCTCCCGGCTCAGCCGCGGCCCCCCACGCCGCCCGGAAGCTCCTCCGCTCCAGCCGGCTGCACCAGCGCCAGCGCTCTCGCCCCCGCTCTGAGTCGGTGTTTTTGCAAGGGCTCCGCTGCTCTCGCCAAGTCACCTGGCCTCTGTTCGTACCGAGAGCCGCCTCGGTTATCCCCCCGCACGCACCCCGGTACATCGCTGCGCGGGGACCCTGCTGCTAGGAAGGTTCTTTTCCCCGTGGAGAACAGTTCTCCTGCCAGGGCGGACCGGTGAACCCACCTTTCAGCGATGATTTCTCCTCTTTGCCCCTCATCTTGTTGCCTGCCGGGACCCCGGGCGCGGCGCGGCGGCGCGGAGGCTGTGTCTGGGCTCCCGCTCCCGGCCGCTGCTGCAATCCCGAATAACTCCCCTTCCTGGCCGGGCGGCCCGCAGGCAGGAGGGAGGCGGCGAGGGCGGCGAGGCCGGCCGGCGCTCCGGCTGACCCCTTTATGGACGCACTATCGAGGGCGGCTGACATGCGGGAGCGTTATAAAGTTCAGCACGGGCCGCCCCGCACACTCTGCCCCGTTGCAACATCACCCTCAAAATTACTGTAATCAGCGCGCACACAAACACACGCACGGGCGGAGCGGGGCGGGGGGGCCGCTCCGGCCCTCCCTGACCTGCCGGCCGCGGCCGGCCCTGCCCCACGGAAACTCGCGCTGCCCACGCTGCCCCGGCCGGGGCGCGGTGCGAGCGGCCGGGCACCCTCTGCGCGGCTCCTGCGCCCCCTCCCCTCCGGGACGGCACGGCACGGGCAGCGGCGGGGCGGGGGCTGCCGCTGCTGCCTGCGGGGGGCGCGGGGCTGCGGCTACCGGCCGGGCTTCCCCGCCGGCCGGATAGCGCCGGGGCGGGACCGGCGCCCCGCTCCGACCCGGCACCCTGCGCCTTCCGCCGGCAGCGCCCCGGCGGCGCCCCCCGCCCGCGCGGCACCGCTGCCCCGCCGCCCGCCACCGCCCGGCCCGGCGCCGCGCACCCCCGGTCCGGCCGGCACACACCTGCCGGTACCCGCGCTCGAGGGGCCTCGAGGCAGCGATGTGCTTAACGTGGAAGGGAGGGATGCCACCCAAGGGACGAATTATTATTATTTTATTAGTTAAAATTAATGCAACGTCTTAAGCTGATGGACTGGGTTCTCCAAAGCCCGGAGTGTCCTAAAGTTGCTTTTTAAAACTTTTCCTTACAATGAGGGCAGCAAGCCTCAATACTTGACAGTCATGAAAGAACACAAGAAAGAAGCAAGTAATCAAAGATCCCATTTCTCAGATGCCAAGTCTTATATGAAAGCATCAGACACTGTGAATATCTCGATAAATTGTATCAAAAATTTGTACAGACAACGGCTTAGGGCTGTACAGCTAAAAAGTAAATACAGGAAAAGAGTAAGAGAATTACAGTGATGTTCCACATTCATGTTACTCTTCTACCTCATCCTAAAAAATTTACAAACTGTCCTGAAATTCGAAATTATGAGTTTTTCAAAGCAAATTAATAATAATAATAATAATAATAATAATAATAATAATAATAATAATAATAATAATAATAGTAATAAAGAAGGTAGATGTTGAAAATAAAAGGGAAAGGGAGACTCCACAAACAGAATACTAGAAGTTTATAAAACTCTTTGCCCCAGAATATACACTCCAAAAGAATGGGTGAGTTCAAGAGCATATGAACAAATCAGTAGGAAAAAACCACTTAAGATTTAAATACACAGGCAGCATGTCTGACCTGAAATGTTCCTGTACCACAGATTCCTGTAAGCCAGGGATGGGTTGGAGCATATCACTGAATAGTTGCCTGTTCTTTCCTTCTCATATAATAATGTAATGTTAGATAATGATAACTGACCAGCTAACCCAGTAACCCTAGCAGACCTGCATGGACTTTGGGCCTATACTGACCTTCTGACAATCTTATACTGCCCTTCTGAGTGGCATGATACTGCTTCATCAGTACCAGAGTTTAAGCAGCTCAGAAAACTCCAGGAACTGTTGCTCACTTGCAAGAAGGAAGAGACCTGATTTGATTTGTAACCTAATGTGAAGCATTTGGCTCTTCCAAGTAACTGTATTACATGTAAAAGTAGCACTAGCTAAACAGATGCTCATCAAGCTCTTCACCATGACAACCTCCAAAACAGGGCCCCGCATCCAGGCTGTGAGAGTTGCAGAAAGACACAGACTGTTGGAACCATGGGAGATGTAGGCAGAGGGCAGAGCAGACACAACATGCTGGCTTACTGGCATGGTTCACCCCAGGGTCCTGCTGACACAGAGATTGGGACATACCTGAAATAAAGCCAGGAGGAATGTGAATAGATTTGTCTTAAAGAAAGAACAGCAGCTCATCACTAGCGTGGGCCTGTATTGCTCAAAGCATTTCAAAGCACATTCAGCAGTAGCTGAGCTGTGTAAATTCATCTCCCTAGAAAGGCCTGTGTTTGGAGAGCTTATTCATCTGTGTTGGGCAGGCAGATGTTAGTCCTGCTTGACGCTGCTTTCAGGGCACACAGAAACTTCTCCCTCCTGCCCTTCAGGAAGGTCAGAGGCTTCAGCAGCCCACATGGTAACTGGAGCCTGTGAACTCTCTTCTGATTCTGTCCTGGTCATTATTGTCTGATGCAGAATTCAGTGCCTCAATCCTTCAGGAATTCAATTCTCTGATAGCTTCTGGACTTCAGTTTGGCAATGAATTCAATGCTGAATAAATGAATTCCTGCTTACTTATCTTCCTGAATCAAGACCTTAGGATGCAGCAGGTTCCTAGAATTACTTGGCTGACTCTGGAAGGAAACTTCTTCGAATTCTGCAAATATTTTCAGCAGTATTTGGCTTTGGGTTAATTAAACGAAGATGAAGTTCAGGCTTTGGAGTGCAGGAATGGCACAGCCCCCAACTACAGAAGACAATGATACTCATTAACAGCATCTGTCTTCTGAAGCAAAATCTCATAAGCTTTTATTTTTTTCCTGTAAATCCTGAACAAAAAAGTCAAACCTTGTAACTTTCATGTGCACCCTCCAAGTTTCATGTGCAACAGCCAAAATTTTCAGTCAAGACCTTCAGGCTGCCCCCACAAATTATGTCTACGAGTAGCAGCCAACAGATAAGGAACTGAGTAACAGCTTTAATAACAGCCCCAAAAGAGATTTTAAATCAGGAGCTTTCGAATGCTGTCAACAGGTCTGCTAGACATTGTGTTGACAGGAGGTTTATTGACTGAAGCCCCTATTGATCTGGAAACATCTAATTGATTTCAGTGTCATATTTTGTCAAATACAAATCTGGAACATCTTTTATTTCCCTTTTCTGATGCTTACAGAGCAGGTTTACTGCATTGTCAATAAGAGGCTTTAGTGCCAAGGGATTATGCTCACAGGATCACAGAGTGATGCAGGGCTGTGCTGAGAAAAAAGTAATTCCCATCCTTGTAGAAACCAGTGGAAAATTACAGCATTCTTTAGATGAACTGACCTCTAGTTAAAATAGCTGATAAACAATGCCCTGACCTCCATTTTATTTCCAGCGCATGGATTTGAGTCTAACAGAGTTGTTGTCACTGTGACTTTATGAGTAAATGTTGCAGGTATTTCAGCCTGTCGCAGTCGGAGAGGGATGACTGCAGAAAAACCATATTTGTATACCTTCCTGGGAGAGTGTATCTTCCTGGGAGTGTGCCACCCCAAGGTTAGTAAAAGTCCTTGCAATATTGTCTAGTCTGTCTAGCTTAGAGTTCTCATAAAACAGCATTGGATGACAGATACTTAAATTCATTATTGATGTTATGAACTTTAATGTACTGTGACTGCACAGAATCCGGTCTTATCAGAACTTAATAGTGCTAATATGGAAAAGGAGGTGAAAACATCTGATGGAAAAGTGATGAAAAGCGAGTCATGAGAAAAATTAACATTCTTAGTGATTCTTAGTTCAGTCTGCTGGTTTCCTCTGGTCACAAGGCAGCCTTATGTGAGGAGCTCCAGAATGAATGGTGTAAGCAGGTACTGTCAGCTGATTCTTGCACTCAGATTTTTTCTTCCAACACTTTAGTTTTTAAAGGATAGTAGCAGAAGCGCATTTAGGCATTTTCTATCGAGGACATAATCTGAACAAGTTTTCTTGCACATCTTGCATGAAATAGATGTCAGCTGAACTAGCCTAGCTATAGGGTCATCTCTTTTTCCCTTATCTCTTCATCTAGTGTTCCACTAGGTGTTGGCTATCAGGATATCTCAATGTCCTTTATGTGTATACAAAACCCTCATCATCATGATTGTCGTCATCATCAGTTCATTATCTTAAAAGTTATCTTTAAGCCTCTAAGTCCTCCATCAACCTTAGAGATAAGGTACTAAATGATGTGAATAGAGGGAGAATTTGTCAAAGAGAGGAATTTTTGCTAGAGAGCTCAGGTGGGTCTTAACTCAAAACAACAAATTCAGTTCTTGGCCATGTGAAAACAGAGGCCTGATAAAGGAAGAAGCACACTGCCAGGTGTCAATACTTTTCCTCTTGGTGATAACATTGTGTCTCTTGCCATTATATTGAGTTTCAATATTCCTTATTATTTGTAGGAGCTTTTCTTGCAAGAAGTGCTAAAAGGTGTCCCGGGCGGAAGGATGCAAAATATGCACACTGAAAAGGGATTTATGGACAGTGATTTGTATTTAGTGATTTATGATTTTAGGAGATATTGTGTCCCTTTCAGATAAATATGGGGTAATTACAGTATTTCTGAGTGTAGATTAATTAGTCTAAGCTAGAGAGCAAGAGAAGAAGTCTTAATCTTGCCCTAGGTAACCGGTCCAAAATAGTAAAAATATTTATATATTCATTCATAATATATTTACCTTCCTTAGGTTTTGGTACTCAAGTTAGACATATAGTCGTCAAATGTATCCTCCTTGGTCAGAAGAGACAAACAAGCACCTGAAGGCAATTCCGTGTATCTGTGGCCTGAACCAGGCAGTGTCTACTGTTTAGTTGAAGGAGTTTGGTCCTGAAACCCACAGATAAGTAGAGGGCTGACTTGGGTTATGGGTATTTCTTTTCTTACTTCTGAAGCTTTATATGTATAAGATGTGGAATCGCTTTAGAGAATCACTTTGTCAACATATACTGAGAGAACTGGTAATTTTATTCCTGATCTATCCATATTTTCATAAAAGAAAAAATCCTGTGGCAAGTGTAAACACCATACATGTTAGCCAGAGATCCCCGACCTTAGTCTAATTTAGTTTTGGACCTAAAAGAATACTTGTAACATTATTATAACTCTCCATAGTGCTCCTCAAAGTTGAATTATACATGTTGTCTTCCAGCTAGCAGCCCTGTGTGGTCGTGTGTTGCAGTGGATATTCAAGACATACCAGTTTTCTTGAAATTAATTGACATTATCTTGCCTTGCATTGTGCCTGATATCATCTCAGAGAGATGTGAAAATATTAGTTCTATTTTACAAAGGTGGGAATTG